TGTTCTCTTCTCTTCACTCGGACCAGCCACATCAGGTCTATTTGGAAAGCTGGTGATTTCATATAGGCCTTCAGATGTGGAATAAGAGTCAAAATCAGTGACGTCTAGTGATATAACCATCTTTATTCGTTTCAGAAGAGATTCTCCTTTTCCATGTTTAGCAGTCAAGTATTTGGTAGCCCCTGAAACAGAACTTGCATCACTCTCACATTCCTCAATGTAAGTACTCAAATTCCTGGTATAGCTTTCACCAACTCTCCAACTAGGTAACAACAGAAGTCTCTTCACCTTCTCAGTCAGTGGTATCTTATTCGGGCAGCAAAACACATTGAGCCGATGAAAGCAAGGCTAAGATTGTATCTTACAAGTGGTTTGTATCAGACTATCTGGTAAGAAAATGGTGTGAAGTAAAGGACGCCACAGATAGTTGACGTTCGATGACACCTGTAATCATAATTTGAGATCGTAAAAAGAAATGGAAAAGAGGAAGACAGAAGAACACAATGCGTCAAGAATTTGAAGCAGGCATGAAACGGACAAATAGCAAGCGGAAATAACCTGAAAGTATTGCACAGATCAGCGTTCGACTGGGGATCCTTATCTGCGGCCTATACTGCTTTACGAGGAGTAACTGACATAAGTAAGTACGTAACAATTAGATGTGAATTCAGCAGTATTGTTGTAAGATGGAAAGCAAAATCAGTTATTGATTAGATGTATTATGTTGTCAAACTACTTGTGAGTTGAAAGACTAAGCCTACGATTTCAAATAGACCTACACAATGTATGAAGGATGACGTCACATCTCACTACATTTATCAATTCATATGTTTGTGTGAACACACATACATAGAAAGGATTAGTCAACCAATCTAATTAAGGGTTATGAAAAATGTGCGTAGATGGGTTCAGTATCGGTGAATGTCAAATGTTCCAATAAACGTTGAAAGTAGAAAACCATGTTCATCGATAGCAAAGTACATAACTGAAACGGGTCACAGAATTGACATCAGTAGAGCTTTTAAAACTTGGTACAGAAATTTTCAAGGACTAATTCTCAGGTTTATTGAATCTCAGTCTATTCATAAATTAAAACCTCCCTGATAATCCGTATATCACCTTATGGCCTAGGATAATGAAACAATCTCCTATTCTTTCTAAACGACGTTAGTTTTTTCTCTCTATAATTTACACTTTCTACTTTGTTTACTTGAATCTTCGTTTCATTGACCTTTGTTAGTTTCCATATAAAATACTTTGACAGATATATGTGTGAGCAGATTGTAAGAAATGTATAGAGCAAACAAATCACAATTTTTAGATCAACTCCATCTTTTCATTGTTCTATCGAAATATGTAAAATGAACTAATTGCCTGAAACTTCTAAAAAGATAACAGATCTCCCAAAGTTAGTATTTAAGAGTCACAATTGCACCGCATTATAATGAATTAGATTATTTGGTAGATTCTTTTTAGAGACTCATAATCTATTATTATTATTATTATTATTATTATTATTATTATTATTATTATTATTGACTTTATTCATTGTTATATTTTTGGTAAAATATAGAATTCTCAGCACAAATAATATCAACAGGTTTCTTCTCCCTATTTCTTGCTCGATCCTTGCGATAAATATTGAGTGGTTGCCAGTTACATGTTAGCAGTTCAAGACTTGACATTTGAATAATTATATCTCTGATTGGGCTCTCTTGGAATTTGTACAGCGAAATGTAGTAAAAATTTTTACATACGCACCTGAATAGCTTATAAGACTAATAGACATAATGATGTGTTAAAACAAACAATCAAAAGATAACTTGTTGAAATATTCAGATAGCAGGAACAGGTAGCCCAGATATTTAAACAAGTCACGATAGTATTAATCTTTATGTTCACTTTTTGAAATTTTAACGATTAGTTTAATTTTATAGAAATTGGATGCCTGAGTACATAGAAGTTATCAGATGTGAACAAAATATATTTGAATCATTTAAACGATTGAAATCTAAATGATTCCAACGTTTCAGTCATTAAATAAAAGACTAGCATATATTCTTTATATCAGAGAAATCTTAATTAATGTTAGGTTTAGTTCAAAGTTATGGATTAATAAAAGACAACAATTTTTAACGAATTAAAAAATTTCCCGGATAGTTGTTCATATCTCTATGTTTGAAACCTTTAATCGTAATATTTTCCGTTTAATTAGCTACAAAAGATAGCATTCGATCTGCACTAATAAGGACTTGACACACATGACTTTGGTCACTACCCAGTGATCAATCAATTATGATTACGTGTCAGTCCTATAGGAAGTTGGTCGCTGCCCGGATAGCTCAGTAGTAACGTCAATGACTGTGAAGCTGGGTGATATGTGGTCGAATCCGCCAGGGGGCACCAGCTTCCTCAAGATTATAGGTACACCTTGCTGATGAGTGCCAAGTAGCACGAAACCCAGGTCCAAGGTTTCCTGTTGACTACCTCCAACCACTATCTAATCTTAAAAAAGAGATTTAGTCAGTGAGCTGTTCAATCATGTTACATGCTTGTGGCTAATGTTTTTTAGCGAGTTTGTTTTCAATGAGATGGGATCCCTAACCCCGTACCCAACCTTTCTCGTTTATCCAGGCTTGGGACCAGAAGTAGCCCCAGAGGAACCTCAGGCGGAGAACATAACTTTAAAGGATATATTCAAGCCCTTAACTGATCTGCATAAACCAAATAAATCTCTTGTTCAGATAGTCAGATGATGTGTACACATTCTCATTGTACTTTCATCATCAATTGTGTATATCCATTTAAAGAGTCAACGTAAATCATCCAGAAAAACAACAAAACAAAATTGAAGATGAACTTTAAAATTTCAATTATTGACTATTTCATTAAATTATTCATCCATTTTTTTATACCATTTGATACATTATTTGTATAACATATTGGTTGAATTATGTCGGCTTATTATTATTAATACATAGTTAGATCACCTCTCATATTACATAACAAGCTTAATTTGTTGAACTTTGATCAAAAAATGTATTATGATTGTGTGATTGTACAATTACAGACTCATATTACTAAGATTTATTTGATAGTTAACTTTTATTTATTTAGTTGAATTCATGAGTCAATTTCAGTTAGATCATCATGGAAAACCTGAAAGCATTGGATGACTGTTTCGTCGTAGTTCAATGGTCTAGAGGTTAAGCGATCTCGCATAAGGCCAATAGGTCCTAGGTTCGAATCCCGGGAGGCGAGATCTTGGATTCGCACTACTGAGGAGTTCAACAATAGGACGAAACGGCCATCCAGTGCTTTCAGGTTTTTCATGATGGTCTAGTTTCAATTGAATCATAATCTCACCTATTAAAATTACTATAATATTCACGAAAAACCTTTCTGATCTTAACTTTGAGTTCTCTAATAAAAAGTGTAAAAATCTATCCAGCCAGAGGAAAAATTTTAAATAATTAAATCTTACACCTCCGCCTGAAGCCCCTATGGGGCTACTGCCGGCACCAAGCCTGATAAAGGAGGAGGGTTGGGCATGGGGTTCGCGACCTGGTTAGGAAACGTTAACCAGTTAAATCTTACATAGACGATGACACTTAACTTTGATTGTTTTAAAACACTATGTTTTATGCTAATTTCCCATTTATCATGTTAAATATTCACTTCTTGTCTAATTATTGTTTGTTTTATAAATTTCATCAATAAGAATAATGAAACAAATTCTGTTTGACATTAATAAAATGAATTTCAATAATTAACATCACGAATCCATTGAAGTTAGACCATCATGAAAAACCTAGAAGTACTGGATGGTCGTTTCGTCCTGTTGTGAGACTCCTCAGCAGTTCGCATCCATGATCTAAGCCTCTCGAGATTCGAACCCAGAACCTACCAAACTATCATCATCTTAACTATTGAAATTACCATAATATCCACAAAAACCCCTTCTGATATTAATAAAATGATTGATTTGAATGTACCCAATTGTTGAGATATTCAGAAAAATATCCCAAAAATTATCCTGTTAAGTCTAATGCTATTCTTGAACGTGAAATGGTGTCATTTTCCTACTGGTGAATATTTATTTCACGTGTCATTTTCCTGTCGGTCAATATTCACAGTAGTCCTAACTGTATAAATATCCATTTGTCTGTAAAGTATCATTTCTATTTTTATTCTTCTCCTGACCCCATAAACAATTTTCATCTGCGGTTCATGTTCTGATATATTGAAGATAGGGGAACAGATTTGAGGTCGTACTGGTGGGATATTTGAAGTTGGTCAGTCGTTAGAAATTAGAGTAGCCACGCCGCGGTCCACAATACCAATAAATTTAAAAGTAAAGTAGGAAAGCAAACAAACAAAAACAAGAATATGAAATATAAATGGGCAATTGTATAAATAACTGTTTATATCCATTGACTATTTATTTATATAAATCCATATTATAAAAAGAATATGGAATAATCAAATTTAAATGAAAGAAAAATATGATAACATATCAATGACATTGACGATGTTTATTATTTTGATATCATTAAATGGATTAATCAAGCTATAGAATTTAGCTGATTTCGTCCATTAGAACTAGTCTGAACTTATTCAGGATAGAACAGTCAAAATCATTATATATATATATATATATATATATATATATATATATATATATATATATATATATATATATATATATATAACATTTTCATAATCAAATTAGATCAAATCTATCCTGTGCTTCATTCAATTATATTTAGAATCTCTTTATTATTTGAAATCATTAGAAGGATCAATCAAGTTACAGGATTTTGTTCATTCTATCCATCAGAACTGGTTCCAACTTCTTCAGAATAGACTAATTAAAATCATCAACCAAATATATATTGATGTATACATATATATATATATAACATTTAAACAATCAAATCAGATCAAATCTATCCTGTGCTTCATTCAATTATATTTAGAATATCATTAAAATAAATGGATTAAACTACAGGATTTTGTTGATTATTCGCTATTATTATTCGTTCCTCTTCTCGTTGTCGCTGTTGTTCTCCTTCTTCTTCTTCTCCTTCTTCTTCTTCTTCTTCTTCTTCTTCTTCTTTTTCCTCTTCTTGTTTACTTTGTATATTCTCTACAGAAGTACTATTCGTTTGTACATATTCCTGATTATTATTATTATTATCTTCATCATTAATATATCGTGTATACACAGGGGGATTTCTATTAGTTTGATAAAAATATAATAAAATAATAAAACCTATAATCAATATAAATGATGTAATCATAATCAATAATATAATTGTTGCTATGTATGGGTTTTGTATTAATATATTATGTAATTGATTGATTACTGTATGATTTAATTCAATCGATTCATTAATAAACATAATTGGTAATAAAATGTTGGAAATATTTTCAAGTTGTTGAAAATTTTGATTATTTTTAATAAAGATATTCATTTGAAGTTTTTTTTCCGCTTTAATGACATAACCAGTATTTGGTTCTATATAAATCATTGTATTGAGCTCATCTGTTGGATATAATCCATCAATAGCATTCTGATAGGATTGATTAGCCTATTTATGAAACAAAGATAATTGGAAATATTTAAGTAAATAAATATAATAAATAAAGTGACAGGTATCTACCTCAGTACAATGAAACATGGACATTAACAGTGTTGGATTTTGACTCAGAAGTCTAGAGGTTAAGCATTCGCTCACGAGACTTATAAGTCCTGGGTTCGAATCTCGCGAATCGGGATTGTAGATGCTCACTGATAAGGAGTACTACAATAGGTGATCTAGCGTCAATTAGTTCATCATCTCAATCAAAAACTTAATCATCTCCACAATCCTATAGATTCTTTTAAGTTGATCTATTAGTAATTATCTTTTAATAATTCACTAGTTGATATTAGTTTGTAATAAAAATTGACATAGAAATTAATACAAAATATTCAATTTTGTGTCATGGATAGAAATTGTATACAACTAATTATGAATAAATACGACAAAACAATCTTGTGTCTGAACTTCATTCAGTATAGAAATCCATATCAAAGTGCTTTAACAATAAACACAGAAAATAAGTGGATCATATAACTAATGTTTAAATAATTTTCAAGAAAACTTGATGAATATTTTTAAGTTCAGTAGTTGAGATCATGACTTAATTGAAGCTAGATCACCATAGAAAACCTAGGAGCATTGAATGACCGTTTCATCCTATTATGATGAAGCTCTTACGTGCAAGACTGATAGGACCTGGGTTCGAACCTCACGATTCGAGGTCGCAGATACGCACTGTTGAAGAGTCCCACAATAGGACGAAACGCCATTCCAGTGCTTCCAGATTTTTCATGATGGTCTAGCTTCAATTGACTCATAATCTCAACTAATGAAATTGATATAATATCCACAAAAACCCCTTCTATCATATAACAGTTTACAATCTTTCATTTAATCTATCTATGACCGACATATATATATATATATATATATATATATATATATATATATATATATATATATATATATATATATATATTTATATAACCTACAATTAGCTTATCAAACAAAGTACAACTTGAACTCCAGTAGAAGTTTCCTGTGACCCTACTCCCATAGTTGACCAAAACTAAATGAATTATTATCAGAATGGGTTTTGTGGAGATTTTACAAATCTCACTGAGTGAAATCATAAGTCAATTGAAGCTAGACCACCATGGAAAACCTGGAAGTACTGAACGGCCATTTCGTCCTAGTATGGGACTCCTCAGCAGTGCACATCTACGATCCAGTCCCCCGCGAGACTTGAATTATAGTGTTTTCCTAAGATAGAAAATTCAGTTTATATAAATATTTAAAATTCATTCAAACAATACAATAAATTTCAACTTACATTAAGAAAATGTGGTTGTGATACAGCAATTGGTATACCAGGTTGACATGATGACATATCTAATACACCATCATCATAACAATTAGGCCAATCTAAACAAAATCCTTTATTTTTTTCATAATATTTCGGTGATTTAAATGTATCTAACATGGGAATAAATTTGAAAACTGGTAAATGATTGAATTTCACTATAGAATCTATAGTAAATTGTATAGAACGACATATATCTGATGCAAATATATAAGGATTATCATTTATAGTTAAAAAGGTATGAAATAATGAACCATCACTACCATTAATCATATTCGCTGTAGATGTTTTCCAATAAGATAATTTATCCTTTCCATTATATTTGATAATTTCACCAATCAGTTTATGATTATATAAACCATTATTAATTGTAATAGAATCACTGAATGTATTATTCTTATTAATGAATAAACCAATAGTTGTTGTGATATTCATAAAATAATTTGATATAAATGTTAATAATTCATCATTATAACCCCATAATAATTGTTTTATAGGTTTTTTAATGAATAAATATTCATGAAAATGTTTTTCAATTTCTTCAATAATTCTACTTAGTAACCATGGCAACTCATTGAATTTAGTTGCTATGGTTATATAAGCAAGATTTATAGTTGTAATCATATCATTTTCTGTACCATTTGATAAATTTGGAACAAAATAATACCATTTTATTTCTTGATAAGTAATTGTTTCATTTATTTGTGTAATATTGAATTTCATACGTTTTTCAAGATATGTATATGGTCCTAATTGTTTAAGATGAGGTTTATGACCAGATTGAAATTCAATTGGATTTGTTAAATTAAAAAAATAAAATTGTATATAAATAGGTATTGAAGGTTCTGACCATTCAGTGTATATAGTTGATCCTGGATTTAAACGTGTTTCTCTAGTGATTAATAGCCAAAGAATAGGATATAATATACATAATGATAATAATGAAGCAAATAATAATATACTGAAGAAGATGATAGACTTTAAACACGTATGAAACATCATAGTTTTGAAAATGACTTTTTATCTCTAATGTTATTATAGACTATTGTTATACTGGTTATAGCAGACAGGTCAGTTTAAATATTATGAACTGATCGTTAAATATGTAAAGTAAAACAATAAGCCAATCAGAAATTAATGAACAACTAACTGACATCAATATCAGGACTGTTAATGTCTGTATTTAATGATTAATAAAATACAAGTTGTCATGAAATGTTTACAGTAAAGTGAATGTAAATAATTGACTGTTATGTATTATTGATCTGTTGAAAGGTGTACTTAGTAATTACTATTCAAAGACAAAGATAAGTAAGCTTAAGGATATCGTCAGTGGAGCACCCACTTACACAGCAATGAGGATCATAATGACCAAGTCAATAAGAGGCCTCAGTGAATTTTAGATACGTGCCCAGGAAAGGACATGACCATCCTGATAGGAGACCTAAACGCCAAAGTCAGAATGAACAACACCAGGTATCAACATGTCATGAGACGACATGGACTGACTGGGCGAAACGAATGAGAACTGTTGTAACGTGAGATGCTGCTGATTGGAAGTTAGCGAATTACCGATCGATTCAAAGACGCGTAAGATACGTAAGAACGGCCTAGAAATCTGATTGGTCCCGCCTCCCTGTCTAGACCAGCCAGTTGAGTCCAGAATGCAAGTCTCAGCCTCTGAGATATGAATCATTATATTTCAGACATACTCTGTTTATATACTAATCAAGCAGACCACATCGTGCCATAAAATAGAAAATAACATTTGTACAATATTTGACAAGTGAAATATATATTGACCAATAGGAAATGTCCACTTAAAGTCCAAGGACACCATTAGACTTAACAGGATAATTATTGGGATAGTTTTCTGAATATCCCAACAAGAACGGTGACGGATTTGCAAATTTATGCGTATTCAACAAACGAACGTTGATCGGTTCATGATCTCAACAATCTCCACAACCCTATACTGATAATTCTCATATGCTCACTACTGACTAGCTTTTATATGTAATTCTTGGAGTTCTACTGAAAAGCTGTGACCAAAGGAATTCAACGGTCCTGGGTGAGGCCGTTACCCAACAAAGACAGTGTAACATTGTTGGGGACGTTAGATCCCCAAAACTCATATTTTGTAATTTCATCTTATCGATTAAATGTTTAAATATTTGAATGGCAGTCAATTGATTAACTTTTCGATTAAATGTGAAAATAAGTCAATTAATGAACTTATCGATTAAATGTTTAAATAGCAACCAATTGATGAAATTATTGATTAATATTTAAAAATTTTCCATGACAATATCGATTTTAAATATTTGTATGAATACGCTTGATTTGTGTGCTTGACTTGACTTGGTATCTGCTGTTTGCCTGTAGAAGACACTTTCTACGCCTTACCAAGACTTCTTGATCGAGTTAGCTGAGTCGGGGACAACGGACCAGAATAGCCTATCGAGTCTCTGAATCCTTGATCCTTCGTTCCGTTCTGAATAAGCCGAGTCAGTAGTAGCATTCAAGCCTAACGAATCTAACAAACATGGTCGTGAAATATCGTGCATTGGTTGGAGTTAGATATCAACATAGATAAATCTCGGTTCAGTGATCTAGAGGTTAAGAGTTTACGTGAGATATAGAAGGTCCTGGGTTCGACTCCAACGTATGGGATCGTGGATACTCAGTGCAAGGTAATCCCATTCTATAACAAAACAGCCGTTCAGTGCTTTCAGACTTTAATAGAGCTCTACCACCGATGGGCTCATGATTCCAGTTGAAATGATTATAGGTGGCACTATATTCCGCTACAAATGCATACACAAAGCTACAAAGGTCTCATCACATCACACTATGCAGAACCAGATCGACCGTATCTGCATCTATGGTTATGAATGATGTTGACCTCTGCTAAATAATTTTTGCAATCGTTCATTACGATAAACGTATATATTCAATCTGGTTAGTCTATATGTAACAAAATGGCTCAACTCAACTTCAATAATTTGATCAACTGATGACGCGCCTAAATGTTTCCCAACTTATGCGTCGACCATCTTTGCAGGTTGAGATAGTTGTTAAATAATCATACGTGGACACATATCCTAAACACAGTTAGGTAATACTCACTATTTCATCAGTTGATTTACCATCGTTACCTAGCGTTTGATTTTGCAACCTCAAGTGGTGTCCGTCAAAACTGTCAACTTTCTATATCTTTGTTCAATTACATTGTAAACCTACTGCTGGAAATAAAGTTCTCGTCGACTGAATTTCTAGGTATTGCTCTCCTACAAGGAGGTCCACTTATCGACTTAGAATACGCAGATAATATAGTCCTGTTTCGTGAAGACGCTGACAAAATGCAGTCTTCTGGTAGCACTAAGCAACAATGCCAGAATGTTTGGAATGCGCTTCTCTCCCTCCAAATGTAAGTTGTTGCTTCAGGACTGGCCTGCGTCTACACCTGAACTAAGGATAGGGAGTGAAGTGGTCGAACGCGTTGACAAGTTCACTGATCTTGGAAGTTTGATCAGCTCTAATGGGTTGGTGTCTGACGAAATCTCATCACGGATTCGAAAAGCTTGCTCGGCTTTTGCCAACTTACGTCACCTATGGCGAAGGCGAGATATCCGTCTATTATCACAATTGATGGGTGGTGATCAATGTCATGCTTGTCTAGTCCTTATTAGTGCAGATCGAATGCTACCGATCATGTTGCAATGTGGCCACCAGTCTAGGTGACTCGACACTGCGGGCACTATGTATTGAGATTTAGATGGTGCTACACCTTGCTGACGAGTGCCAAGTAGCACGAAACCCGGGTCCAGGGTTTCCTGTTGACTACCTCCAACCACCATCTAAATCCGTCTATTAATTAAGGGACGAGTATTCTTGGTGACAGGGTTCAGAATCGATTAAAACGGCGTTGGTGTATACACTCTTTGTGTTCCCATAAAACATGAGATTAAAATCGCTTTATATCTTTCTTCCTACCAACTAATTCTTTCTCCATGTATCATATCCTTGTACACAATCTTTATTTCATATATTTCTACCAATGAAGTGACCACTTCGATGAATTCGGTGTTCATCTTGTTATTCCAGTGAGGTGTGGCAACTTGGACCGTTGCATGTGCGCCTGATCTCACGTTGTAGTTGACTGATACCGAGCTTCAATATTGCTCATTCGGTTATTTTATGAAATGAGCGTAATGACTAAATACGAACATATACCAGTGAACCACCAATATTTTCTAATGCTAGTGGTCATGATTCACATTCATAAACTAAAATACAAAGAACTGATGAACAGTATACACTTCCTTTGGTTGGAAGACGGATATTTCTCCTACGCCGCAAGGACACATGTTGGCAAAAATCAAACTAGCCTTCTGAATTCACGCAGAAAGTTTGTCAGACATCAGAAATAATAAGACTCCCAAGATAAGTGAGTCGATTGATGAGTACAGTTACTTCATTCTCCATCAATAATTCAGGCTGTGATGTAAGCTGATAGATTGTATTTGGAGGGAGAGAACCGCATTCCAAATACGTTTGCATCATTTCGAAAGGTCGCTAGTAAACTCTGAATTTTGTCAGTATCTTAATCCAACAGACCTATGTCAGTTATGTATCTAAAATTAACAAGAGAATTTTCTGGTAAATCAACTTTTTGTAATTCAGAGGACAAAAATAATATCTTTAAAAGCATATCTATAACAAGGTCAAATAAAACAGGGAAAGTGGATGACACTCATAGTAACCAATCCTGTTGAGTGTTTTCCAAGATTCACTATATCAACCGACTTGCCATCTCTATCCACTGCTCTCTGCCTAAATCGTAGTTCCAACATGTACGGGTAATGTCTAACGAGCTTACAACATACGTACAGAAATTCCACTAATCGCAAGGACGATGAAGCTTACTAGTCAATCTACGTTGATACGCCTTCCAACGAAAGGCACCAACTAAACATCACGATCAGTAGAGTCGGACGACACTTTCATGTCAAGGTATACAACAATAGTCGGACGTCTATGTTCCAGAAGTTGCCGAAAGGTAAATATTTAATCTATATATGCACGTCCAGGTTTTTTCGGGTTTGCTTTTCACTAGCCATAGTTAGACGACGAAGCATTATTAGGGCTAATATTTTGGACACTATAATAGTTAGACTGATTTCTCTGAGATTGTCACAGGAGGAATTTTGTCCTCTTATAGACCAGGATGATCGGCGATCGAGACTAGTCAGATGAGATAACGTCCCATTTCCAGATTTCAGCTAGGATCTCAGTTATTCTAATTGCCAAAAACTGGACTACTATCCATAAGATTCTCAACGGTTGATCCATCAAGCCCTCCTGCTTTTCCTCACTTTAGATTGCTAATAGCCTCACTAAGATATGGAAAATTTACATCTGCTTGCCTTTAAGGTTACTTGCAGATAGTGGGTAACTAAAGTGCTCTGTCCATTGATTGAGAGTGAATAATAGTTCAATCGTTTTCCGAGATATTCTTACTAACAGCCATATTTTTTTGGTAAGTCTTAGCAGTTATCTACTGTTACTCATCGCCACCACCATTTCCATCACTTCTGCTTTCGCTTCCCACCACTGCCCACGATCATTCCATAAGCTTTTTATCAGCTAACGTTTAAACTGCTTCCACTTTTCATCGTGTTCGGCAGGATGAGTTTCCGAGCATCTGTCAATACAATAGACACCGATGAAATCTGCTGATTTTTCCTGACGTTTTGATTCAAGTTACTAGTCGAAATCATTGCTTTTTTCACAGCATTTCCGATTCCATGTCAAGCTCTCTCGGGGCGGATATCTCTTTCATGATTGACTAAATATTTCTCTAGTTGTTCCTAAAATACATTCTTAACCTTTTTATCATTAACTTAAACCCTAAGGTTTTTTTTTACTGTGGCTTTTCTATGTCCAGTAAAATGCAGAAAAATATGTGCTCGAACTAGAGCATGATCTGAGTCTGAACA